AAATACTCCACTTTCATTTTCAAGGTTAATAAGGAATGTTACCAACATCATTCACTCAGCTCAGCTAACCTGCGTATTAGAATTACAAGCGTCAAGATAGCTACTTTTCAAATTATATACGATCAAAGGTATCAAATGCAAATTGAGAAATTAAACAAACACAATAGCGTTATGGAAGTGTGGTTCTTCTGATGGTATGATCACGAGCACTTGGCTTGGAAATGCCGTCTTTCAAAGCAGTCATGCGTTTCAATTTGACAAATCTTCGACTTAATGTAGCGATATTAATAATGGAATTTACGCCTATAATAAATACTATTGAAATGTAGACACAAATTAAAATTATACATATAATGCCGCAAGTCATATATTATTATCACATTATACGTTTAATGTTGAAGTCGTCGTGGCCTAAAGGATAAGATGCCCGGTGCAATCGTATGTAGCGATGCACCGGTGTTCGAATACCGCAGGTGGGTACCAATTTTTGTAATGAAATATGTGCTTAACAAATGTTCACGATTGACTTCCACGGTGAAGGAATAACATCGTGTAATAAAAATCAAACCCGCAAAATTATAATTTGCGTAATTACTGGTGGTGGGACCTCTTGTGAGTCCGCACGGGTAGGTACCACCACCACCCTGCCTATTTCTGCCGTGAAGCAGTAATGCGTTTCGGTTTGAAGGGCGGGGCAACCGTTGTAACTATACTGAGACCTTAGAGCTTATCTCAAGGTGGGTGGCGTATTTACGTTGTAGATGTCTATGAGATCCAGTAATCACTTAGCACCAGGTGGACTATGAGCTCGTCCACCTATCTAAGCAAGAAAAAAAAAGAAGGTGAGTTGATAATGCTTTGACAAAAAGAAAGTGCCAACAATTTTATTGTGCTACAGTTTTAAGAATTGGATGTAAAAGTAATCACTGAAAATGTATAAAGCTCAAAGGAAATTGTTATAATAACATATTTATGACGTCTCATATCATCAGGTCTATGCAATAAAAAAAATGCCGTACTGCTATCGTATTATTATTAAAAAGAATATATTAAATACAATACAAAAATCAATTAAAATGTCCCGCTACTCGCTACACTTGTGAGTACAGCGCGCACGGTGGCCGCATCTCAAACGAGGATATGCTATGGGCATCGGAGCGTAAGGCCCATTTAGAAGAGAGAGCGACCACGATGAGCTGTATAACATTAATAAATTAACGATGATTTTATGGAATTCCGTCGGTTCTGCGCTCGCAATGCACACCCGCGATACTTTGGATTATATATTGGATTTTAATTTGTGTTACGCCGACAAATTTCAAACGAATTAAAAGCGTACAATTTCCAAAAATATTCCAAATTGAGTTAATATGCGTAAACGTTTGGTATCACCAGTATTTTTCTCATAAATAATGTTAAAAGAGCGTAATTTAGTTTTAGTTTTTTTTTTTTAGTTTACTTATATTTTGACTACTATTAAGAAAATTAATACATAATTTTATCTTACTTTAAAAGACAGATCATGTAACTGGTGAAAAATAAAAAATAAATGTTGCAAATATTATTAATATTTAAAATGTTAAACCTTTAAGACACTCTCCTGTAAAATTATTAAGTTTTGAGATTATACAGTTTTAATGCGATAAGACGATATATTCAGTTCCAGTTCGAAGTCCGAGGCTTTCTTTTTCCCGAAAATTTAACGGCTTTAATAAAACGATTTTTCTAATTGAAATATTAGATAATTAAAAGTTGACAAAATTTTTATTTAAAAAAAATAATCATTCACAGATTTCATTATCGATATATAGAAATTTCGTGTTGAATCGAGACGTTTCGTACTGACTACGTTATGGAGCGTTGATAATTATGATGTCTGACTTTTACTTGTTCTGAATTCAAATTTAAATTCGAAAGCGGATTGTTTTGAATAAAATAAAAAAAGATTATTTATTAAAATTAGCTCTAATGCTCCCGAAACGTAAAAAAAAGTAAAATAACTGTGGTTAGGTGGTTTGACAAAAAAATAGAAAGTTTTTTTTTTAAATGCCAACACTAAAAATAGAAAAGCAATACCCAAAATGAACTCGAATATTGGTTAAATAAATTATGAAAAAATAGGTCACTGTGTTATATTTACGTTTTGTAATGCATTGATCGATTTGTGAAACAAAGTGTGTATAAATATTAAAGACGACAATCAATGTAACATGTTCTACAAATAAGTCACTGCTAAAGTGATTAAGAGATTGTGTTCCGGTTTCCATTATTAAGCAGGCAGTAGTGAAATAAAACTTTCAATGCATACAAAATTTTTAGTAACTAAAAAATAAGACAATAAAAAACAAGATGAAAAGGAAAATTGAGGTTCAAGCGATCGTCTCAAGCTTTTAGTACACTTACGTGAAAATCGTAAAAATCACAACACAAAATATCCGAACAATAAATCCTTATTCCTCATATCCTCATGTTAAAATATATCCTCATGTTAAAATATTCGCTCAACATTTAGAGGGAGATCAAACAACAAGCTTCGCCTTTTCATGGATTCTTAGTACCGTTCGCAATTCCCTAAGACGTCTTAACTTAAGCAAGGTAGCCTTCGTTGCACATAAATCGTCCTATCTCAATGAATAATTGCAGGTTTATATTTGAATGAATATATTACCGCCGATTACAATAACGAAGGTTGACAATTTGTTTAGCGTTCAAATAAGTACTGGTCGCAATAGGAAACTTGCTTTAGAGAATGCAGGTGCTATGTTTCATAGTGGAAAATTGTTTAAATATAACGTTTGTTTAGAATAACTTCCTTAATGTATAAGCACAGTAGTTGGCATAGGGTCGGATAACTTTTTGGAAATATCGATATTCATTTTTTAAATTTTTTAAAAAGTCTTCGATTCTAATTAAAATTTATTAAGCTAAATATTATGATAATAGGTGAACCAGGATATAATGTCGTTTCAACAGACGCTGATAGTCGCATTTAATAGCTCATTAGCTTCTTTAAATTCGTACGAGACATTTTAAGGTTGGAGTGATTCGTTGGTTGTTAATAATTAAATCTAATTTTTTTTTGCTTAGATGGGTGGACGAGCTCACAGCCCACCCAGGTGTTAAGTGGTTACTGGAGCCCATAGATATCTACAACGTAAATTCGCCACCCACCTTGAGACATAAGTTCTAAGGTCTCAGGTATAGTTACAATTTCTGTGAAGTATTGGTATATTTCTTTTGTATTATCCAAAATGTTCTCTCATGATTGCGTAGATAATCTTCAATGCTGAGGGTCGTGGCCTCATGAGACTCTCTTGGGGAAATACACATGGTGGAGTCCCGCGTCTTTCCACGGCAGTACTTTTGGAAGAGATTTAGTTCTTTGCTGAAGCCTTAGTTAGGTCTGGCTAATTAACCGGCGCCCGACATTCGGCGTTGACTGTTTGAAGGTGTATTTTTTCAGATTTTTTTAGAGTAAGTAATTTTAAAATCTGGTTTTAGTTTAACTTAAACTAAACTAGTGACATAAAGTAGAAAAACTTATAGAGATTATATTCGAAGATCGTACTTGATGTAACCGTATGGCTACTAAACAGAACATTCACTGCCTAAGTATTTGTGTTTATCCAAAGACAAGATGAATCGAGCGAGATATAATTTCAAGATTGATGTTATTTATTTTTAAACATTTATATACAGTTTTTAGTTGTTATAATTTATGATACTTAAATGGTAATTTTAATATGATTTTTAAAATATATTTTCATATACACATGGACTGGTTTCTGAAATAAACGATTTTAATTTATGTCAAAGACTGATAACGTCAAATGTGGCACACGTAAACATTTTTAACAATAAGGATGTTGTCTGAATTTTAGGTTATTTTATACTCGCATAGATAATACTACAAAAGTGAAATGCTGTTGTTTTGCTATCTCTTTCCTACGAAATCACGAAGTCTGGATCAAAGATCGATCTCGTGTTTGAAAGTGGACAACGGTATTAATGTTTTTCGTTAAAGCCTAAACTGGCACTACTGTCTATACTAACATGCTCTGACACTAGTGATCTAATATATATAAAACCAAATGTTTGTTTGTTGTACGTAATTAAACTTTATCAAGCACTATTCAGAAAGCGTGTTGTTTTTTTTTTAAATTATTTTCATTTTCGTTACATTGCTGTACGAAGGCTCGTGACGAAATCATACCGCGATACGCACAGTGGTTATCAATGTGATACTTGTGTACCCAGCATGAAATACAAGTAGACAAAATACAATTATTTTTACTGTTACCCGCTAATGCTGTATTATGCTACGCTGCTAATTCGCGGTTTAATTACAATATGCGTGTCGGTCAACTTTATTAATTAGTTTATTTTAATTTTATTTTTGTTCGTTAAGGGTTCAATTTAGATTTAATTGGCCAAGATAGGCAGACGTACCGACTAGTAATGTAACCCGTAGACGATTCGAAGTGTAGATTTTGGAAAAATATATCATGAACGGTCTTCCCTCGAAATCCTTATTCAATTATAATACTGTTTAGAATATGCTTTAGTAGCCGCTTAGATTAGTAGATAATCGGCCCCTGATATCATTCTGAGTAGGGTAAAAACGGACTTTGTCATTATCCTTCGATTCTTGTTTATAGTAAAATTATTTAAAACTCAACACAGTTGTCAAAACCTACGAACATTTACTCAAGTTTTTTTTTTTTAATTTTATTACAGAGACTCGGGCTTAAATTTTTTGATAATTTTCTACTTTTAATTTTTGTTTTTTTTTCATTTTCGATGGTACGACACATATCGATACACGAGAAATTCGATTTAAATAAACACGAAAACTTGTCTTTCATAAATAAAGAAAGTCTATCGCTATGTTAATCATATGCAATTAATTTTAGCCGAAACTTTCATCTTGCGGACTCTACTTTAAATTTATATGGGAAAAAAAATACCTTACAGATTTAATATGCGAACTCGAAATTCAGATTGCACTTAACGATACGCCCAAGATTCACCGAGAGGCCCATCATCACGTCGGCAAGCCCAATTATATGACTGCCGATATTTTACGAAGGTACTAAAGTTTAAAATCGAATCGTGCGAAAACGTTGTTGAGCATTTTCTCAGTTTCACATTTCGATTACGCTTTAAACGAGTCTGGACCGTAATACCGGTGCTCAAAAAAACTTGCACACAAAACTCGTAAAACCACACGATGTATAATGCAAACTGAAACAAGTGTTTACTGCATGCGCGTTGATGTCTTTTATACTAGCTTATTCGCGCTGTTCCGTGCTACATATTTATCGATAAATCCTCTCATATTTTTTCCGATAAACCAATACAACACAATACTAAAATTGGTTAGATATGTATATTTTATAATTTTTTTATTTTTAATAATTATTATTATATTATAATACTTTGTGTATTAATTGTATGTATATTTACGGAGATATGCATGTATATATGTATGTGTACATATATGTATATGTATTTCACTGGAATGGTACACCGCGCGTAGTTCGTTTCCAAATGATTCTTGTCCACCTGATGGTTGTCTGGAAGAGATCGCTCTTAGCGATAAGACCGCCAATTGTACTTTTTTGTGTTTAATGTATCGCACTGTTTATTTGTTTTTTGGTGTACAATAAAGAATACTCTCTCTCTTTCTCTCTCTCACTCCCTCTCTCTCTCTTTCTCCCTCTCTATATTAAGCTTGACGTTATTTATGTTGTAAACTCAAACTCGTTTAAAAATATAACTAATAGAAACGTGTGTGAACAAAGTATGTGGAACGCGTCAATTGATTCGTTCGCGTTCCAGCTCAATCGGTTTTTTTTTTTCTTAAACTAAAACGCGCATAGTAAATTACAAGTAAAAGTATCATTAATACCTTTTATTTACACGTTACACTGACCCACTTGAATACGAGGCGTATTTAAAACACGTCTTATAAGTATTTTAAAACGTATCGAATTGCCGGAAAAAGTTACCCGTATCGATTAGTAACGAATTACAGAATTTCGCACCGAAATCAAAACATAGCCGCGGCTTGACGCGAATATAAAAAAAAGTAAAAAAAAAAAAACTCACCGCCTTTATTTACTATTACGAACTTAAGTCCCCGGCACAAGTCCACAGAACACAATCCCGAATTAGAACAACGGATTAGGGTTGCGCCACGCACGTGTCGATGGATGTGGAATTAGTTGGATCGCCGATATTGACGTGCTGTCGGAACAACGGCCGCGGGAGACTGGCGCGCCGTCGCGTCTGGTTGGCACCTGCACTACCGTAGCTAGTGACGGTCACTTGTCGATGCTATCGATAAATAAATTACCTATATTACTTCATTTTAGATTCATATCAGGCCTAGATAGATAAAGAAATATCCTTACAAGTAGTTACGTGTGTTGTGAGACCGTATGGGTACCACCTCCTATTTCTGCCCTGAAGTAGTAATGCGTTTCGGTCTGAAGGGCGGGGCAGCCGTTGTATGTACTATGTATAAAACATAGACTTAGAATTCTAGACTAGGTGGCATTTACGTTGTTGTTATCTATGAACTCGGGCAATCACTTCACGCCAGGTGAGCCATGAGCTCGTCTACCCATCTAAGCAATAAATAAGCAAACATGGATTTTAGAAATTTGTTCTACCATTCAATTGGGTTTCATTCAGATTCAAAAATCAAGCAAAAAATATGGCTGTACTTTTTTTCCTACCTAATCTGATAGCCTTGAGAGGCTTCGCAGAATCTACCACCGGATCGGAAACGCGACCCACTGAGAAGATCCGACGAGAAACTCAGTGGGCTGTGTCTGAGGACTAAGGGCTGTACTATTTCATGTTTAAACTAATAGTACACCGTATGGACTCAACGATCAATAAATGCATAAAGAGGTACCTACTTAAGGTTTTACGTCACGAAGCCATATTTTTAATTCGACTACTACTACTGTTTTTGGTATCAAACGCTGAGGCTTTTTATGGGCAAACGAGCTAACTACCGAATTTGTGTTAAATGTTTACCGTAGCTCACAGATATCACAAATGTTAATACCTCACCCTAAGTCTCATGGTCGACATCAAAATCGTGTATTAATTACGTAAACTATAAATTTTCATCAGATTTCATTATTATTACACGATTTTAGTCACACAGATTTTAATTATGAAACAATTTTAATGTAACAGAGATTATTTACGACCTTTGACCTATTATTATGCATAAGATCATTCTCTATATATCATGCAGGTTTTTTAATCCTGAACATTTGACGAAAATAACGCAAGGATTATTGGTAAATTGATAAACTTATTTGATTAATTGGTAAACCGAAAAATCTTATTTAGGTTTTGTAGTTTAATTTTATAGTTGCTCTTGGTCTGGCGAGGCTTTGTTCGCGCTGCAGGAGTCGCCACGGGCGGCAGGACGCGGCAAGCTCTGAATGACAGGGGAAAGCAAACTCATTTATCTGCCGCGTGTAGGTTTGATCTTGACAGCTGAAACACGATCCGAGCCCGCAGTGATTGGCGAGATTCATGTTCGATACCGGCCGGTAAAGCCAGTTTGTTGTCGCTGGAAGACCGCTTATAGGTCTGTTAACGATTATATCGAACTGTGTTTTATAAAATCAATTGCTTTTTTATAATATTTAAAATCACTTTAATCTCCGCGACAACTCTTAGTCGTCCGTGACCATGAAATATTTAAAGTATTATAAACGTCGAAAATAATTTTATGAGTAAAAAAAAAACGCGAGGCTAAATTGTAGAAGTATTTTTAATTGTGTCTGCGATGAACATACTTTCATATTAATTTCGATAATATAAGTTCATCGACTGTGTCCATCACTAATCCGTTCGTACGCAACGTACATCGAATGATCAAATTAATTACCGCCTCATCTCGGCTCGGACCAGCTCTCAGCCGAAAAACCAAGCTGACCATTCCGTCAGTATTTAAAAAAAACAGTTGAAACATATACCTATCCTTTTCTGGCACGTTAAAAAAGACTTAGTTCGTCGGAAGGTAGCGTGTATTGAATGTGAAAAGTAGGTTTCACCTGCGGCTTGTGAATGAACTGTTGTTGCGCGGCATCGTTTGATGTGTGAAACAAACGTTTGACAATTGACAGTAAGTACTCTAGAAATAGGCTAAGACAGCGGCTCTCAACCTTCACGACAGCCTAGATTGTTTATAATTAAAATTGTATTTCGTAGATGGCCGCCGGTTTGATCACGCAAACCTCATTTTAATTTATTTGTTAAATATTGTAGTGTAGGCACAATTTATTGGCATAATTTATTAATGAGATTTATATTTTGTTAGGCATTTTTATGTTAGCTTTGTCTATTTGAAAAGTTTATTATCTCGAATGGTATTTTGGTCTATTTAATAATTAACTACATTTTATTTGTAGCGCGTTCAAAATCACATAGCATTATTTTCTCTTGTGACAAAACATTGTAATTTGTTTATGAAAAGTCTCACAATTTAAGGAAACAATATTTTAAGTTTTTGCTGTTCAAAACCATTACTGGCTAAATTGTTTTTTTTTAATATATATAGCCCACTGAACCTAATAGGTGTATGGCTCTAATAAAGAATTAAAATATATATATATTGTTCTTATCCCGGCCACTGACATGTGAAGGGCCGTCAAACATTCATTCGCAAACCTAGCGGCTGTGCAAATGGGTTCGCATACTCAATTTGCGAACCCGTTTGCGCTTCCTCCTACACTTGTTTACGAATGTCTCACGAATTTCTCCTCCTTTTTAATTCGTCAATAGAACATTGAAGAGAAAAAGAGTTTTGAATTCTTTCCCAGACATCATTAACAGCCATGCTGTTTTTATGGGATTTCTTTTGATGAAGATACGCTATACAGTAGACGTCACGAACTATGAAAATGGCGATACGTCCGTTACCTTCGCAATCGTCGGCGCAACTGGGCAAACGAATGTGTGGGAGACTACGCGAAGGTTCGCGGTTCGCGCGCTTTGATGTCTGTTAAAAAACCGACACAGCTTGGAAAACCACGAATGTAGCGAAAACTTTGCATAATCATTTGCAAATGTCGTCCTACACTTGCGGGTTTGCGTATTCGTGCGCATGTGAGTGACCGGTGTTAGTTACACATTGAGAATAATATTGTAAAGCAAAACAAACACATGCAAGATATTACTACCGGCGTATGAATTGTATGTCTTTGGAAGTCTCGATTCTGTATTATTAATAGTCTTAGATTACTACTAGGGGAAGCGCGCTAGAGGAAGAGCGCCAGCTAGATGGGTCGACCAACTCAAGTGACTGGAGGCCAGATACGGGGAGCGGTACATATGGCGCAGAACCGGACCGAGTGGAGAGGATTGACACATAGTCACGATCCTCAGCATTGAGGGAATGACCAGAAAGAAGATTACTAGCAAATTATTATGACTGTTCTTTAAAATCACTTGGAAAATTGTACAAATAACTACCAAATTCTAGATTTCACGAGCATAAAATTTGAGAACCAATGTGCTAAAGGAAAATGTAATAATGACAAGTTTCTCACTCAAAGTTGGAATTTCTATGTAATGACATATTATATGAATATTGTTTTGCGTTGAGTAAACCTCAGGTGCTCAGCAATTGACACGGCACTGTTATTACTTGAGAATGTGTAAGTGATCTAAAACAACCACATCATAGCTTCTGCCCACATTTCTAGAGCAAAATCTCATTTTAAAACATCATTCACAACGGACACTGTTGCCAATACTACGATTATTTTTCTTCATTGTATGGTTACGCTAGCTCACAGCCCACTTGATGTTGTTGTGGTCTATAGGATACGATGCCAGTTTACAAGTATCAAGCGATTGTGCTGGTGTTAGTATCCCCTAGGCAGGTAACAATTTTCCTAAATAAACACATACTTAACAGAATCCAGTGACTTCTACTATGGAAGATTAGCAGTGTGTACTTTTGTTATAAAGGCATATGCTTACTGTAGGAAATTAATATGGCTGAGCTTGTTCTACATAGAATTATTTCTGAGGAGTGTATTATAAGTTTATCTACAATTGTCAATGTAAATCTTCTACACTAAGATCCAAATAAACTTGTTGCATAAAACTCTTCAATATTGCTAAGGTTTTAGAAACATGGAAATAAAACCGTTTGAAAAAGAAACTTTCATTGAACTTATTATTTAAAAATAGAAATGTATTTCTCAGCATAAAAAAAACATTTGGACAAATGTTTATAATTTCAATTATTCAGATTTGATTCTATTACATGTAATTTTTAAAACATGGTTTTTAAGATTAATCAGTATAGAATTTACAGTTTAAAAGTTATCATTCCAAGAAATGGAATTAAAATTACGCACCAGTTATATGGTGCTTAATTTTAATCCTTATTAAATTTACCTAATTTAAAACAATCAGTAAAACTGATTTTTGCATAAAGTGATTCTGATACAATGATTCTATTGCCGAGTTTTCCTTTGACAACCTTAAAACTAGTATAAAGCAGCTTTTAGGAGTTTTCAGTTTCCTTGTATCTGAAAATAAATAATACTTTACGATATTATCTTGTACCATGTGTTCTTTTTTAAAATAGGAAATAATTTTATTTTTGAGATAGTAGTTGCTTACAAGATTATTATTATGTCCAGTTTTATCTATATTACCAAGGAAATTTGGCCACAAGTTGCAATTATTTTCCTGTCTTAGGCTGGTGGTAGGGTCCAATTTTATTTAATACAAGTACAGATATTAATGACTTGCTCATCGAAATACAAATAAATATTGTAATTTACATACTTGCACTTTATACATGTGTAGAAAACTGTTTGTCCTTCATCGGCCGATCGTAACTGTAGAGTTGCATATGACATTCTGTCGTAACCGCATTTTGCGCATTTTCTCTCCACAACTGGACCCTCAGGACCATCAGTATGTAGTATATTCTCATTTGTGATCACAGATATAGTATTGAAATGTATTGTGTATTGAAATTTCAGGTTACTATAATCTGTAAAAAAAGAATTTCTGAATAAAACATTTTTTTAAGTTTTTATTTTATATTTCGAAAACAAATACAACAGGTTCTTTCTGGATTTCATAAGTATCACTAAAGTTTTTTTATTTATTATAAATTTAATAGTGAATATTCGAAAATAATACAAAAGCATAACGCTGAAAAATCGTATCCCGTTTATATGAAAGTAATTTTTTCATTGGCAACTATATACTTACTATCAGCCTCATAATGTGCTTTACAAGTGTAGCATTTCACGGAGCCAAACTCTTGTAGCAAGGGTAATATAGACCCACAGCGAGCACAAAACGCTGTACTAGTTGATAACGGGCTTTCAGTGGACATTATTCTAAAAGTAAACACAAGTATCACTAAAAGGGTTGTGTATTTTTGTTTAGAATATTAGGTTATTTTAAATCTTTATCTATTGCGTACTAAACATAACCAGAATATATTTTTAAGCCAATATAAAGCATACTATATATTTTTATGATGGATTTTAGTGTATACATATGTATTTGCTATACAAAATCATAATAAATTAATTTTTTTATTAAAATGATAGATTCATTACTTACGTACAATTTTTTTAACTGTTTGACAATTGACAAAGGAAACATAGCCCATACTGATAATACTAATATATCGCTTGTAACTAAAGCTGTACTTGTTGTCAGTTATTGTGTGAAAATTTATGTCATAAAATTTGAAAAGATGAAGTTCAGTAACTGTTTATTTTTCTTACCAGCTCATAGCCTTGAGACGGCTTGAGAGGCTATGTTAGCGTCACCTAACAAGTAGGTGAGCTCACGGGACTTAAACCTGACGACGTTGCTAACGCTAACCCTAGCAAGAGTATTGCTTCTCTGAATCTACCACCGTATCGGAATCACGACCTACTGAGAAGATCCGGCGAGAAACTCAGTGGCCTGTGTCTGTGGGTTAATTTACTTGCCGAGCCCTTTGTCGCAAGCAACGGTTTCGACGAGAACGATGACTAGTGACTTGAAGTGTTTAAAAGCACCGTTAGTGGATCGGGAGGATACGAAATGACGTGCTATAATTAAATTAATGAAGATTACACTTCTAAGTTTTAGTTTTGGTGGACTTTTTGTCTCTCTACCACAGTCCGTGACAATGCCTACAGAACTACAGAACGCTGCCAGTATCTGTAGATATAACCACTACAGTCTAATAAAGCTCATTTTTAGCTCTTGCTCTTTACACTATTACTAACTCCACTCTATAAACGAAATTTTAAACGCAATTCTTCATTAATGGATCTCTAAAATCAGTCATCTTCGTTGTTTCTCATGATATAGATTTGTAGGTATTTTATAAAATAAATAAGTGAAATCATGAAATTCATGTAAATACAATAAACACAGCCTAAAAGACGAGATGCCCAATGATTTTAAAAATTTTTAATTGATGTTTCGGTTTCAAAATCCGAGATTTCATTGTCATAGTACTTAAAATAACAAAATTGTCCGTTAGTACATTTAGGTACAAAGACTTCAAACTGCTTATTTGGAAAAAGTCGAAGGAGGGAAGAACGAAAGATGAGAGTATGTAACAGATGGGGATATAGAATAAAAATGTCAAAGACTTATAGAAAATTGTATTGAGATAATAATTTCAATTCTACATTTATGTAAAAGAGGATTTAATTAAAGGGGGTTTGAAGGATCATAAGCCGTTTTGCACGGAAGTTGTGTGTATTGTTTTATTTAGTACTTCCTCAGGTTGAAACTTATTAAAACAGTTGCTTATTAAACGTTCAATATTTGTAAAAACAAAACAAAACCACTGGACGTGTCTACTTGCGTTCTTCCATGAACTCCATAGAATTCAATAAAATTACTCTATTAAACTAAGAGCTTACTTCATTTAATTTCACCCAATACCTGCAGTGCTATCTAATGTCCCTCACTCAGTCCTATTAATTTATTCCTAAATTTAGTTTTATTTTACTTTTCATTCCATACGGATTTTGGTTTTTTCTAAAAAAATTATGGATGTATAGCCGAAGTACTCATTGCCTTTCTAGTGGACGAATTATTCGAACAACAATGTCAAATGCCAATTTATGAAAATTTGAGTCCGCTGTGCAATTCTAGGCTTCGAAAACTTATTGGTACCTACTTTTTTTCTATTGTGGAACACGCTTTACCATTAATTTAGACATTTATCTCATAAATAATGGATGAGTCACTAGAAGCAGAGCTATCGTTCGCAGAAAATGCTCAACCGGCACAACCCATGGAGACTAGTCAGACGGACAACACTTTAGCTCAACCTGGAACTGTTGTTCCCGGCGGGAAACCAGAAGAATTTTCTGTGGAGAAAATACTTGACAGAAGGGTTAAAAACGGGAAAGTCGAATATCTGTTAAAGTGGAAAGGGTACTCTAAGTAAGTTCCTACGTTAGGTACCTACACAATGTTTGTAAACATGCTTTGTCAATAGGTACTAGCGGACTTTTTACCTTTCTAGAATGCTACCCACATACTATTCAATTATTTTGAGCTTTACGCATGTCTGGAAATTAGATTTCTAATGCATTTCGAATGTTTTCTCTATCAATAGCTATATATCTCAGCAATAGTTTCAATTCTGTCTGAAACACTGTTCTTAACTATAAGAAATCCACATTTTCTCACATGAATATTCAGGTAGTGTAAGTTTTTTTCATTTAAATAATAATTATTTCTTTCAGCTACAGAAATCATCCATTTGCAGCTAAAATAGTTCTTAAAGATACATAAATTATTTCAGTGAAGACAACACTTGGGAACCAGAAGACAACCTTGACTGTCCTGAGCTGATATCAGCATATGAAGAAGCAAGAATGAAAAAAGAGAGAGAAGCTGCGCAAGTTGTACCTGATATATCAGAAGAAAACTTAGCAACCAGGAAAAGATCTAAAAGAGGATCCAAAAAGAAAATTGAGGTGAAGTAAATTGTAAAATATTCAACAGCTTAATGTAATGTCATTGAATGTTTTGCATTTTTCTACTTTGTCGCTATCTCATAAAATAACTTTCTTAATATGCTTAAAGAATACTTCATGATTTTCAGTTTATTAAACCAATCTGTTCTTTTTGTTTTAACCTTACATTCAAAGGAGTATAGTTTTTTTTCTCGTACCTATGCTAATAAATAGCCTTGAGAGGCTATTTCAGCTTCTTGATGGGTAGGTGAGCTTACTGGGCTTAAACCAGGAGTGTTGCTAACACTAGCCCTAGCAAGAGCAGTGTTTCGCAGAATCTACCACCGGACCGGAAATACGGCCCACTGAGAAGATCCGGTAAGAAACTCAGTGGGCTGTGTCTATGGGTTAATTCACTCGTTGAGCCCTTCGTCACAAGCGATGGGTTCGACGAGGACATTAACTAGTGCTTGTGTACCTACCTAAGTAGTACCTAAAAGTACCGTTAGTGGATCGGGAGGATCCATAATGACGTGTTTAGGGCGACGTTTACCATTCGGTCTACATGATTGGGTATTTAGGAGTATAGTAATGCTTTTTCAGAATGATATGTATGTCTATTGATTTGTTATATTATATCTCAAAGCTTTTTGATGAATTGCAACTCACAAAGTGTCCTTTAATTTGTCTTAATTGCTAGAGCGTCAGTTTACCTATATTGAAATATTTTTCAATATTATAAATTTGCTAACAGAAACACAAATAAATGTAGTATAAGTATTGCTCATAGGAAAGCAAAGAAATAAAACGTATTTGTGTATTAAATTTTAAACATACCAGTGTGCAATACTTTTTTAACTGTTTTATTATAATTAACATATCTACTCTTATCCAATATTAATTACCTTTCTTTTTTATTTTATTTTTATCATATGGTGAGACAGTATACAGCCATTAATATAGTACATAAGAGTTACGAATTTGTATAGATAATACTAGTTAATACTATTACAATAATGCTTATTATTAAAATTATTATGTACAAATTATATTAATATAGAAAATAGATAATAATATCAAGTATAATATAGTACATATTATCATGTAGTCTATCTATACCATATTGTCTGTAATACACAGCTTAAGAAAGTTCATGTTCTTTCAGGAAATTGAAAAGCCTAGAGGTCTCGCCCGTGGTTTGGAACCTGAGAAGATTTTGGCTGGCCAGCTATTCCATGGTACACTGTTTTTCTTGGTGAAATGGTAAGAAGCAAATTAGTCAAACAAACATTCCTTCTTTAAGCTTTTCATTTCGTAACCGTTTCATTTTCATTGAATAAGCTAAACCAAATTTCAAAATCTGTCTGACTGTTTTATTGACCCTGTAGACAGATGAGCATCCTGACCTCACCTGATGATGAGTGGTTACCATCGCTCATGGATGTCAGCAATGCTAGGGGCAGACCCAACCTGCTGTTTACTGCGGAGTGCTCTCCATAAGCCTTGTTTGAAGAAGAACATCTCATGGCTCTTTGGGAACACCATGAAGGAGAGATAATCCATAGCCAAATGTGGCATCATATATCCCCAAAAACGTATTGTAGATAAATGCAGTAGCTCTTATTAGTAAGGATGAACTTTGCTTCAGTGTCAGGTGATTTGATCATAAAAACGAGATGATGGAATCATCCAGAGAAATTCAAAATCTCTCTAGACCCAGAATCCTTTATCATATATTCTAAATTTGGATATTTATTATCTAGCATATATTTATTATTATTTATGGGAAATCTTTCAACTTTAGTTAGTTTGATTTTGTAAATAAAGGAAGTTAATTTCTGATGTAATTGAAAATGATCCCATATAAATCATACCTGTTAATATACATAATTCATATATATATATATATATATAAATAATTTTAACTGCAACTTTAATAAAAGTATACAATTTTGCAGGCGGAATTGTCTTGAAATGGATGTTGTACCAGGACACAGTTTAGGCGAAGCATTTCCGGAATTTGTTATTGATTACTATGAGAAATGTGCACCTTTCAGTGTTAGACATAAGGACATGAAAGTTTTTAGAGAAGCGCCCGAGGTGAGTAACTATTAATTAACTATTTACAAGTTATTTTCTTAATACAGCTTATTGATATCTTAGTGATATTTAAATATAAGTTGGATTCCACTTAAATCATACAATGGTAGACTTAAACTTAAATTGAACTCACAAATGTATAGGTACCCAATACAATATGCAGTTAGAAATTAGATTTGTTTTCACAAAATCATAGCACTTCTATTTTGACCTATACAAGTCATTCTTGTTCAATCGAGGACAAATTGTGTAAAGGTATTCTGGTTAGTAAAACTTTTTAGGAAGGAAATTTTGACAGCTCTCCCTATATCTCAAGCTCGTTGGTGACATCTATATTGTAATGTCTATGATTTTCCGTTACTATACCAGGTAGGCGCCTAGAAGTCTTTAAGATCTCAGATTCAATGAAGCCTTTAAGATTGAATAGTTTATTAATACTAGTCGTCATGGCCTAAAGAATAAGACGTTCGGTGCATTCGTGTTGAGCGATGCACCGGTGTTCGAATCCCGCAGGCGGGTAACAATTTTTCTACTGAAATACGTACTCGACAAATGTTTACGATTGACTTCCACGGTGAAAGAATAACATCGTGTAATAAAAATCAAACACGCAAAATTATAATTTGCGTAATTACTGGTGGTAGGATCTCTTGAGAGTCCGCGCGGGTAGGTACCACCACCCCGCCTATTTCTGTCGTGAAGCAGTAATGCCTTTCGGTTTTAAAGGTGGAGCAACCATTGTAACTACCTACTTGAGACCTTAGAACTTATATCTCAAGGTGGGTGGCGCATTTACGTTGTAGATGTCTATGGGCTCCAGTAACCACTTAACACCAGGTAGGCTGTGAGCTTGACCACCCATCTAAGCAATAAAAAAAACTATAAGTGTTCATGGCCCCTGGTAACTGTGTCGTAGCTGAGTATTTAAAAAATATTATCTATTATAATTGATCAGAGTATATACCGTCTGTTATATTATTTCCAGTTACCTTCAGACGATCCAACTCAGCCTGAAACGGAAACTTCTACCAAAGTGGCTGAAGACACATTAACTAACAGTGAAGCAGGTAAATTAACAATTTTGTAGCAAAACCCGTGACAGTTGCAGGAAAATAACATTTATTTTTTCTTAACTCAGATGAGCCAGCGTCTAAGTCTTAATTCACTACTAATCTCACTTATTAAATCTAACAACTTGATTATCATTAAGCTAAAGCATTTGACTAACTATGATTAGATGGGCTCTCATTTAAAAGACAGTCATTAATGTAAAAAAGCGGACTAAGCCAGAGGATTGTGGTTACAACTATACCATATTATGTTTGTTAAAAAAATCAGTAAGGGCATCCAACATATACAAAGGTTAGAGTATAAACTTAAAAAACCTTTCAGCTTCCTCCTACACTTATTGGTTTTATCTTTGTAAAATATAATATCAAAATATAATAAAAATCATAAATTGATATTACGGAACTAATTTAAGCGTACTTGTTGCGAAAGCAACAATATTTTTGGAACGAAGTTCCTTATGGGACGATGCGGAGGGGTACTCTAACCGGGAAAAAACGTCCGTAACGTAAGATTTTTATTAGTAACTAGCGACCCGCCCTCGCTTCGCTTCGGAAACATGAAAACAAAAAAAATAATAAAAAAAAGTAGCCTATGTTCATCAGGGACAATGTCGGCTTCAAATGGAAAAAGAATTTTTCAAATCGGTCCAGTAGTTTCGGAGCCTATTCGAAACAAACAAACAAACAAATCTTTCCTCTGTATAATATTAGTATAGATACACACAGTGTACGACTTAACTTTGTAATAACGTACAAACAATAAAATATTTTTTATCATTCATTGACCAGAGCGTTCGTTCGCGCAATACACTAACTCTTATGCAAACAACCGTGAATGAAGTGTACCACAATAAGTTCGCACGTTACCGAATGCCCGGGGGTTGTTGCGAAACCTCTAGTTTTATTTTCTTTATACCTTGAATAGAACTTAAAATTAATATTTTTATAATAAGGAACTTCGTTCCTATCCGGTGTCCCACGACACCAGACATTTTTATAACGACAATCCTTTGAACAGTGAATTTTTTTTGTTTAGTTGAATCGCGAGTAGAACCTCCGTCTTCTGTGCCAGTTGCTGAGAGGGCGTCTCCAACCTTAGAAGTGCCTGTCAACTGAACTAAATAAAACCGACCACGACTGCCCGATAACATTACTTTTCAGTTAGAACAATCCAGAAATAATCTAATGTATTTTGTATTTTTTTAATACGCTTTTATTAGCTTCAGACGTATGTATGTTTGTAACGGAATCTTTGAACATGATTTTGACCCCCTTCAAAATGTCGGATAAAGTCGAAATTTGGTATACTTATTAAGGACCGATGACAATACAATATTTAAAAAAATTGAAAAAAAAGTAGATAAAATTGAAATTCAACTAAAAAAAAAAGAAGTTAAAGAAAAAATGGTTTTATTGTATGAAAAGCGTGGGGTGCTTTTCAGGATATCATTAAAAAATATATATTTATAACTACTTATACCACGCACCCCACGCTTTTTTTACAATAAAATCATTTTTTCTTACACTATTTCTAATTCAAATTTATTAAAATTTATTTTCTATTTTTTAGTTGGAGTTTCTATAAAAGCGTATTTTATTAGTTTTTTAAACTATTATTTATTTTTGTCTTAGGTAAGGTATGTTGTCATCATCGCTCATGATCAATACAGCTACTACCCATTGCGATTTAAACATATAATATTTTCTACTATTTAATACTGTATTGTTTTAACTAAAATAATGTGTTTGCGGCTATTGTGAAGTAAACATAAATTATGTTTGAAATTTTGATAATTGTGTAAATAGAAATACAAGTTTATAATAATTATTTTTTATATCAAAGTCTTATGTAATGTTTAAAAGAGTATAGTAATTTTGTGTATACTGTTTCGACATAAGGTATTGGTGTTAAGGAATAGTGTAAGCACAAACTGGTGATTGGTGTAAGTATAAATCTCTGATAACGAATTAACTAACGAGTCGTATGAGAACAACTTTAAAACATGCAGAAAATCCTTGTATAGTACTAAATACTACCAGACGACATCAGACTTGAAGTCTGTGTTACAACTATAGACTGGCTAAGTGTAGGGAATAGTCTTGTCTTGTCTATAAGCGGATTGGCGATGAAAAAATTAACTGTGTATTATGTCCCCCTATCTACCTATAAATTGGGGACATGGTACTAGTTCATCATTTATACGTCCGATAAACTTTAAATTTGAAATAGATTTTAAATTTAGATTTAGATTATAGATTTAAATTTGAAATAGAAGTTCCAATCTCTCAATTGGTTGGTTACCATGGTAACAGTTTACTGATCATACATCAACACTAGTAACCATAGACAAAGCGTTGTATATATGATGATATTTATTCCAAGAAATGCAGTGTTTCACTCTTTCTCATGAACGAATTGCAGTGAGTAAAATTTGTGGCTATAGTCGGATTTTTTATTAGACGAAGTTAACTGACGTTTACTGTGTTGTCAGTTTTTGATGAAATAAAAATAGTGTTGTGACAAAGTGAAAGATTGAAAAAACTCCTGAATTAATGAAATTACCTCGATTGTCTAGTGAATAGTTGGTGTGCCGAATTGCCGATATCGGGTACGGGGTTCGAATTTTAGGCGTGCTTTGTACATACCAACGAGTTTTCGACGAAATATTATGTTCCTATAGTATCTACCTGTACTGAATACCGAGTGTTTTAAACATTAAGAAAAACATTGCGAGGAAGCTTGTAAGACTGTCCTATTTCCAATACATCATATAGTTGAAATTATAGATGTATAAAATATAACAATTATAGGTAGGTAATGAAAATAAAAAAACTGATTGTAGTTACATACTACTAGTAACATATATTGGAGCACTTTAATACAATTTTATTGTAAAATATAAATAATATTCTTTTATAGTTTGAAATTAATGATTAACTCTTCACACTCATTGTTCATTCATGTGATTGAACGAGAACTGAACGCATCACTATTACTTTAAATATAGCAACATTATTTCACAAAGTGACATTAGCTACTGTCAGCTGGCTTCGTCTAATTAAAAATCCGACTATACGTATAGTTTTCTAAAGAAAAGGTGACGAATAAACTAAAAGAAATTGTAATAGAATCGCCTACAATCTTCTGAGAAGGAATGTCAATTTGTATCAGTGTACAGTAGGAGTGGGTGATATAAATCGTATATAGATTCAATATCTATATATCGCAGCAATATCGTTGAATCCGATATCGCCCCGCACGAAATCTATATATCGATATCAGCCGATACACGATATTGCTCGATGTGATGCGCATCGCCATATCGGACCGATTCGTGAATCGAAATCTATATTTCGATATCAGCCGATACACGATATTGCTCGATGTGATGCGCATCGGCATATCGTACCGATTCGTTAATATCAGCAATATTCGTTTGGTTCGTATCGAATCGGCCAGAGTGAGTGAGCGCACGATAGGGATATCATGTGATGAATGAAACAGAAACAGGCATTATCCATACAATTGTAAACCTTATATTTAAGTCCATATGTCTGTAGATTATTCTTAGTGTATCAGCAGGATACAATTAAGGAAAGAAGTTTCAACTTTCGACCCTAACTTGAATGCAGTATAGCCTATTTGCATCGTTGAATTTAATTTCACGCGCTTTGACCTTGAACTAGAATTTTTGGACAAGTGTTTATAAATACTTAAAAGTTTTTTCTGTTTGATTTTTAAAATACACATTTTTCTATTTTTAGTTGAATCCAAATCCAAAAAATCCAAATAATTGAGTTTATTTCTTGTGTTTGTATTAAACTTTTGAAATATACACTCTTTTGGTATATTTTGTAATTTTAAATTAAGACACAAAATACTAAAAACTTAAAATAATGTAGCCAGTCCTAAGCCTGGTAAAAGCATGAAGGAAAGTTTTTTTGATATTTTTATTTTCATGTTCTTTTTATTACTTTAAGATCATATTATAAATTGATATCAGAAAACCAACCGTATAACGTTGACTTAAATCTATATCTACTACGATATTATATCAGCGTATCGTTTCAAATCTCAAATATCAAGAATCGAGAAAATCTACTAGCATCCATCAATATATAGATTCAGAAAATATATAGATTCAATATCCGATATTGATCCTCGATATATAGATACGATTCGATACGCGGCAAAACCGATATTACCCACTCCTAGTGTACAGTAATAAATAATTATATAAACTTAATTTTAACGCTATTACATTATTTCCATGTGACATCTCTTTTTTAATAGAATGATCGTCGAATCTTTTCCCAATCTCTGGACCTCGGAATATTGCGCGTTCTAACGCGTTCATTTTAAAAAAAAGGAAATTTCCAAAACCTTTTAGTTTTGGTTTTGTGTATTGTTATATTTAGGATTATAAGGCTGAAGGAATCTTCACTACAAAATGTGATATATTGACTACAGCTAATCGCAAAGTGTGTTCTGATGAAAATTTATGTTTTATTATTCAAATTTACTGTGACACGATTACTGTTCGCATAAAAACCCTTAATCGGAGTTAGTAAGAAAATATTTCTCTCCATTTAGCAATAAGCACGTTTTTACTTGAAATTTATATATCAAAATATTCCATAAAAAAGTGAATCGATTCTCGGATTCCAGAACGCAATTTTTACGTATCAGTATGGTCTGAAAATAATTCGTATTGTGAAAACATGTTTTTGTGGTAAGACGAATAATAATTAAACAAAAGTAGTAATGCCCATCTTTTATTTTAATACATAATAATATACATTAGTGACTTACGCCTAGTCCCTGTCTTGATAGACTACGCAAAAAGCTAATTAAAAAATAAAATAATCTTACATTAAAATTAATAAATGCTTTGGTATGTCCGTTGGTTTATAAATGGACCAATGACGTAAACTTAATGTAAATGCCGCGCCATGTTGAAAAAAAAATCGATTAGGAATCGAAATCGATATTATATATTTAATTCACAATATTTTGCTTAAAATAGCCATTGACTAGATTGAATGTAGTAACTGTATTTTTTGTTAATGTACATTTTTCGAGTGCCTACGATAAAACTACATAGGTACGTTTTGATGACAAATTTTTTTTATGTCTAAAATTATCGAAATCATTTACATAAAACTTACGTCCATCAATCATAGTTATCAACGATCGGTCTTAAAGCTTATTCAGGAATGGAGAGATGGATGCGAAGCTTTCGCATTCCGGAATGTCTTTGCCTCTGGCTTTGATGCAGGACTCCGCGCAAAGGGATCCCTCGAACCAAGGGCCGAACATTTTTTTGCACTGAGCGCAGTTCTCGATGCAAATTTCCATTGCGTCGTAGCTGGTTGCTGTGAAAATAAGCACATTAAAATTTTCATTCAACGACGCGACATTAGTTTCAACTACTACATTATCTGTGCGCTTGTACCCCCTAATCTCCAAAATATTGAACCAATTCAAATTCGGTTCGAAAATAACATTTATCTAACCATTTTATAAATAAAATTGGAGTGTCTGTTTGTAATATTGAAATAACCGCTTTTTACTACATGCATACAACAATACAAACATCAAAATAACATTTTTTACAATTTGTTTGTCTGTCCTGTCTGTCCTGTCTGTCTGTCTGCCTGTCCGTTTGTTCGGCTAATCTCTGGAACGGCTGGACCGATTTTGACGAGACTCACTGATAGGTAGTTGATGATATAAGGAGTAACTTACGCTTTTAAGCTAACTTTTTTTTAGACTAGCTTCACCCCGCGGCGTCACTCGCGGTACGTCAATAACCGCGGGTAACATCACGAGACTCCGCTATTAATAATAAAATTTAATGTTTCCGAAGCGAAACGAGGGCGGGTCGCTAGTATTTAATAAGTTCGAATCGGCTAATTAATCGGACACGCCCGTTACAATATATTAATAAAATTGAAAGTTGTTTTAATTCGTACAAAAATAAAATTCATCGATTCATTCAAGCGTAGATCGTTCGCGGAATGAATATCTTGGTATTTCAAAGGCCTTGACATTACAAAACGAACCACCCCGATACTTAATAGATATTCGTTCTCATTGAACTGTCGTTAGCGGGTCAAGTGTAAAACATCTAAGGTGAAATTGCGTAACGAGTAGGTAGCGCGGCGAAAGTTTGCCAAATCGCATATTGGGGTCAATGCCTCGTCGCGAGAGCTTCATTGATGCTTCGTACCATATAGCATGCGTTTTTTTTTATTTATTGCTTAGATTGGTGGACGAGCTCACAGCCCACCTGGTGTTAAGTGGTTACTGGAGCCCATAGACATCTACAACGTAAATGCGTCACCCATCTTGAGATATAAGTTCTAAGGTCTCAGTATAGTTACAACGGCTGCCCCGCCCTTCAAACCGAAACGCAGTACTGCTTCACGGCAGAAATAGGCAGGGTGGTGGTACCCACCCGCGCGGACTCACAAGAGGTCCTACCACCAGTTTTCGATTCGAATCGACTTTATTCCACTAGTGTCGCTTTACCGATAATTATCTCGAGAAAGAAGCCCTAGATAATAGTCGTTTGACAGAACAGTTAACCGAAGAATTCAGCTAATGTTTCTGGTCTAAGATCGTAGTGGAGTGCATAAATTTATTGCAGCGTTTCCATCAAAGCCACTAGAGATGGAACGGTTCAAGGATAAAGGACGTGATGAACGGTAACAACTTCACATCAGATGGGTCTAAGTATTGATAAGTCTATTTTCTTAAGAAAGTTGCTGAATCATAGCGTAAGTCGACATTGAATTCTTCTTTTTTTTTTTCTTCTTTTTTTTTTTAAAATAAATATAAATATTTACTAACAATCACGCCACGTTAACTGCTCCCGTGCTAAGTTCGTAAAGAACTTGTGTTACAGGTACCAGATAACGGAAATGAATATAATATTTTTATTATATACATACATATATTTAATATACACCCATAACCCTGGAAAGACAATTATATAAATCATACAAATATCTTCCCTTGGCGGGATTCGAACCCGCGACCCCCTTGTGTAGTGACCATGTCACTTACCACTACACCAGACGGCCGTTAAATTAATTAATAAATTGGTTATTGCATGCACATACGGAAAAAGAGCTAATAGTTTATGTGGGGTTGATTGCCCATCAGATCCTATAGACATCTTAACGCGAATGTGTCGCCACAACATGGCACACTGAATCGAAATCTGAAGAATGTAAATATATTTAAACTTATAAAAATATGTATAGGTCTGATCTGTCTCTTTATCCTGTAGTACATGAAATCTTCGGGGCCATATGACCGCGTGTGATTTGCCTCTGATTACCTATTTATTTAGGTAATAAAGAACCCAATAATAATAAGCTCACTGTTAAGATTAGCATTGTAAATAATTTTACGTTTTTTTTATTGCCCTTTTAGGCAGACGAGCATACGGCCCACCTGATGGTGAGTGGTTACCGTCGCCCATGGACTTCAGCAATGGCAAACGTGTACGTGTATTTGTTTTTCTCAAAAGCCTAAAACAAACACGTTTTAATTCGTTGTTGAAATTAAACTCATTAGGATGGATCGATGGTCATAAATTAAAGTAATTTTACGAAATTTCTTCCTAAAGCGAAAAACAAAATTCGAATTTTCTATAAGAGTCATCCATGAAACCTGCGTACAAAATAAGAATCGATAGGTTATAAAATGTGTCAATCCAAAGAGGATGGTGAGTAAATACTGACAACAAATATTGAAATTGTCATTCCTCTACTGGCTCGGATAAAAGGCCAAAGAGTTTCAGCAACGACTTTTACAAAAAAAAAAGTATATTATTGTAGGAACTAGAATGATTCAAATTCAGACAGCGTTTTTATTTCTCGTAAATTTTGAACAAAATGAATCCCGAACATGTTTGAAAATTGTTTTGGAAATTGTCAGAAAATAACACAATTCGTACAAGAGGATTTTATAATAACCACGTGAGGGTTGTCAGCGTTTCACTGAGCGATCGAATCAGATGAGATTCCTCAGTGAACCAAGATGTCTGGTATAGCATGTACAATTGCTAAGATAAAGTGGCAGAAAGGACATTGCTCGTATTCGTTCTGACTCTGGACCCTTAATATCCAGGGGCGGTTCGTGCACTGGTACAAAGGATATCTTATTTTCAAACCCGAACGCACGAACGCTTCGCGGGACAAGTGATCAATACGGTGGTCCTGATCCGTGGAAAGTTTTACGACTTGCCTACCAGTTAATAAATTAAATGTTACTTTTTCGATTACTTTGTGCTCTGCGTCGTGGCGGACGCTGCTAGCGGACGTTGAATTTCGATATTTAAAAAGTACCCTGAGAGCATCGTAGGCGCCTTATTACGCCACAGACGCTTCTAGCACATATATCTTACAAGAAAACGTTTATGGAAGTTAGAAACGCTACAAACGTGATTCTACGCACGTGTTATCTGTTATTTTGTAAAATTTTGCTTAGCTAATCTTGCATAATTCACCGATCGAGTGCGCACGTGAGGTAATTTCGCGAAGGTTCCACAAAGTTAGCACACGTGCGTTTGACTAATGTTCTTATAACTATGACGGACAATTGATTTATCGAAATTAATTAAGGAGTCAAGTAAATATCTACCCCGATTGAAAACAAAAATACAATCATCTTCAAAATTGAATCAATCATGAAAATGTTGTATCCTATGATTATGCTACATTTGATAATTGAAACAAGACAACCCGAAATAGCATTGTTTTCATATTATGACTAGCTGTACCCGTCCGCTTCGCTGGGCATTTAAAATTAACATTATTATTTCTCACCCCTACAAAGATTCTCATCATTAACGCCCCCGCAACCGGTGTAGGGAGTCCAACACTCATATAAATATTAGCCTATCCATTAAGTACATGAATTTTCTACACGGATACCAAGTTTCAAGTCAATCGGATGCATGGTTTAGTAGTTATAACGGAACATCCGTAAAAACCACCGTAGATTTATATATCATATTAAGATGCTCTGAACAACACAATACATCGGAAGCAAAGCTCGTGCTAATGAAAGTCGACTCACGTTGCGAACAAAAACAAAGAAAATCATTCCCAGACATATTACAGTGCTAGTCAAATTCGGCTCGCTTTTTTTTCTGACTTTGCTCCGATCGCTACCGAATTTCACGGGATCACTCGCTAAGCCAATCTGTTTTTGTGGACAAACTACATCGAGATTGGTCTAGTCGCCCGGAGTCTATAGGGAATATACAAACATGGACTTTTCGATTAGATTGAGAAAATAATGGTAAGATGGATTCTTTAACCGATACTATGATCTGAGATCATCTCACTCAAACATTACAACTATTCTTGCCATGTAGTGTTTTCATATTCATTTATTTTATTGCCCTTGTAGGCAGACGAGCATACGGCCAACCTGATGGTGAGTGGTTACCATCGCCAAGCCACTGCCTACCGTTAAGTACTCTTACAAGCCTCGTTTGAAGAAGGATATGTCATAGCGCTCGGAAAACATCGTGGAGGGGAGCTCATTCCAAAGCCGGACGGTACGTGGCAAAAAAGATTTCATATTTCATTAGTAATTTAATTCGGGTTCGGAAATGAGTGGTAAATTTTATGTATCTTTATATCTGAGATATATTGGAAAATAAGGTTTGAATACAAATGAAAACAAATATAAATTTTTGACAGCAACCAGTTGAAGGTTGTCTTGGCTTATTGATGTGGGATCCTCTATTCGATTTGGGCTAATAAAACGGTTGACTGCTTCACACAAACGTGATTCCGTCTTTATTACAGCAAAGTAAATAAAATATACACGTCTTCCGTCTTCCAAGTTATAGCCCGTCTATCCCTTCAGGTCGGGGTAAATAGCTTCATTGCTCCTCTCGCTTAAAAGAAAACTGTATGTGTGACATTCATTCGCTATCTCCCTTACCTTCTAACACCACATCTCTTATCTCTCTCATTCAGACATGCTCCATATCAGTCCTTCGTGCATACATTCCGTTCCTATATTAAAATCGTAAAACATAGCAATATCAGGAGCACATTGAAATAGCCACCACATATAGTGTATCAAGTGTTCAATTTTAAAGAAAAATCTAACTTTTTTAACTGCATCTTAATTTTTACGTTCAAAATTGTTGCGTGAGAACGATTTTATTTCTTCTAAGGACAACAATAAAATCGAATCGTAAAATTGCAACACGTATATAAATAAATTTGAGCGGCTTTCATTGTTTGAATTAAACAATTCATCACACGCACTATCCAAGGATCATGGAAATCTACATCAATTCCTAGATTGTTGACGATGAATAGATTTTTTTACGATCGTATCATTAGCTATAATCTAATTCACAAGGAAATCCTAAACTTGATTAAACCGCAAATGATTATCTAATCATTTTAGCTGTTTTGTAATCTTTGAATAATGACTATAACGCGACGGCAAAAAGTAATTGCGTCAAAAAATAACTGTGGTAGAAAAATAATAGAGTATTTGTACAAAGAAGAAGATATCGTATTGAGCAATGAAAGGCTATATATTTGGTTTAACCGAAATTTCGCTTATTACGCGACTTTTATCTTTGTAATTAAAGGTCCGTTTTATTTGGTATTAATATCAACAATTCGATATTTTTAATTCAACTTCAATTAAGTTTTCCCCTGAATAAAATAGCCTAAAATGTTTTTTGTTAAGGTATTTTTTCCAAATTTTATTCTTTAAATGACTCTCTTGTAACGTTGCTAAAATGTCCTTTAAGATGGCCTTTCACTCCTCTGTATGAACTAAATATTAAAACACAATTACAAATACATCTATCATCTACGCGAAGACCGCTCACGAATACTCTTAGGAGGCAATCTAATCATCTATACTAGTATATAAATCTGCAGTGGTTTTTACGGATGTTCCGTTATAACTACTGAACCATGCATCCGATTGACTTGAAACTTGGTATCAATTTAAAAAATACAGTCAATGGATAGGTTAATATTTATATGAGTGGAGTCATCGTTATATGAACTGGTGGATTCCCTACACTAGTTGCTGGGGCATTAAAGATGAGAATCTTTGTGGGGGTGAGAAATAATAATGTTAGTTTTAAATGCCCAGCGAAGCGGATGGGTACAGCTACTTATTTATATTTTTAATTACAATTTTTCGTTGCTGAACTAGATTTTAGTCTAAAATGTCGGAATACGAACATATCACAACGTGAATACCTCCACGAGACCTTGAAGCATGAGGTCCAATTTTCAATATAACATTGCATAACGGCTGTCTCATACCTCAAAACCGGACAAAACAAAATTGAAGTTGCTGCTCGACTATAAATTAATTAATGAATAAATTTTAAGGGTTTTGATTTGAAGATGCCTAAATACGTAAGTATTAAATTAGATATTGTTACCCGTCTGCCGGACAAAAGCTTCTTCTCCCTTAGCGAGAATATAAAAATATATCCAAATATGTACTACCTATAAGATATATGAAATTGTGAAGTATGCGTTCCCGAAAGGCATATAAACTACTAACTTAATACAAACCCAAAACAATATTCATCTACTTATTCAAATATTAATCGTGTTACTTTGCTTTACATTGCGCGCTGAAAAAAGAATTTGAAATTAATTTTATTCTGGACTAGCTGTGCCCGTCCGCGTCGCTGGGCATTCAAAATTAACATTATTGTTTAAAATTAACATTTGTCAATTATTATTTCTCATCCCCACAAAGATTCTCATCATTAACGCCCCCGCAACTAGTGTAGGGAGTCCGACACTCATATAAATATTAGCCTATCCATTAAGTACATATAAAATATATGCATACCAAGACATACACCAATACATGGATACCAAGTTTCAAGTCAATCGGATGCATGGTGCAGCAGTTATAACGGAACATCCGTAAAAACCACTGTAGATTTATATATTAAAGTATAAATTGTACGTCTTAGGATATAGCCCTATGTAATTTATTTCAGCACCCTCGCCCTTTGTACTTACCGATAGCAGGGCTGCAGTTGGCATAATCCAGATTGACCACGAATGCCACGGCGAGAGCAACAACGATGACTGCGGTCAGTTTGTTTGCCATTTTTAGGTTTCTGAAATTAGTTTATCATAAAAACATGATATCTAGGTACTATCTCTAATAAGATGCGTTTTAAAATCAATCAAGCCCGCACTGGTGGGCCCCCAAATCACGATGTGTTACGTTATGATCTTCGGTAAGCATTTAACATCAGAAGTACCGTGAGTTCGTTTACACGTCCATGCAAAAAAACCGGTATTCAATGAAATAAAAATTACAAAATAAATAAATAATATAACTAGCCGAAATCAAATGCGAAACATTAACATGAACTAAACGAAACATAAATCGAATATATTTATATTATCATGTTAAAAGAAATTAAACAAAATACTTACGTGCAAAAAATAAACAGAAGCAAAGACCATGAAGTCTACATGGTCCTAAATAATTTAAAAAAAAACACGAGCACACTAAAGCACAGATAATCACAAAATCGTTCATAATATGTATAATAATAATTGTTAGTGAAAACAATACTGAATAAATATATAAATGTAATTTTTTTTCATACCACGACCGCACTTTTATGTCGTTCGCTTAAATATGTAAGCCGTTGTTTATATGTAAGTGAGGTGGGGCGAACGAACGAAAGGGATATTCTAGGAACCGGATCTGTACCTTTGCGAAAGCTCCAAAGTTCTAAGTAGGAAGTTCATAACTTTGAGACGACGATAACGTGGATAACGCGCATTATATTGTATTCTTTTTAATCTGTTTAACGATGCAGCCTCAGAGACGTACGTATCGCGCGACATGCAGTAACATTAAGCTGAGTATTCGATTTTTTTGAATAATTTTGAATATGTAGAAAACGAACTAGTTTTTTTTTTTTAAATAAAACACGAATCGAACAAAGAATCCACATGTAATAATGACGTTATCGATGATCTATAATAAAATACCGGTTATTTTAATTCGATAAAATCATATTATGAGTAAGCCCAGCTCAATTCTTCCGCATCAAAATCCTCATTACGGAAAAGACGCAAATGCTAACTTTACGAATGAAATTGCGACTCAAGGCCTTACGGTGTACCGAATGAACCCAAGGTGCATTAGCTAAATATTTCTTGGGAAAGCGTGACGCACCTTCCAATTGCGAAACAAAAGGCTGTAGGCGACATAAAATGTTACCATAAAAATGTGATTCAATCGTATAAATTTACACCTGCAATAAAACGATGTAGAAATTGATGTTATGAAATCGATCAAATGCCTGTATAACTCTTGATATTTAAACATTAAAGATAAAATACAAAATAAAAAAAATTAAGTTCACATTCTTCCAAAAATATAATGAGAGAATCCAAATGGTATGTCAACATTAAACTTTCACGTCTTCTTTTACCGACCCGGTTACCTTCAGCGGGTAGCCTGAGGCGCCTGTGCGTGGATGATACATAAAGGGTTATTCTCTTGTTTATTTTTATAATTTTTAAACAATTTCTTTTTTATTTTATTCCAAAAAAATATTAACATAGAATTTACAACGCAAAAAAAAAAATATCTTTATGAAACACTAATAGTCTTCTTTCTTTTGCCTACCTATGCTGATAGCCTGGAGAGGCTATTACAGCTTCCCCCTAGCGTGTAGATGAGCTCTCGGAGCTCAAACCAGAAGTGTAGTTAACACTGGCCCTTTTTTTATCGCTGGGGAATCCATTTACGGATACCTGGTCCGGGGGGGTAACGAACCAGCTAACAGCAGTGCTTCGCAGAATCTACCACTGGATCGGAAACGCGACCCACTGAGAAGATCAGGCGAGAAACTCAATGGGCGCTAATTATAATTGATAAAACTATGGCCCAATTATTACGCAAAGTAAAATATAATGGTATAGATCTCGGTTGCAACATCTCTGACCTAATTGTAAGTGAACAAAGGAAATGGGATAGCATAATTAAGAAAGGCGTGAGTAAAGTCTTTCCCGGGCCTCGGGAATTAATCCAGAATAATACAGAATGCCAATGTGCTCACCGGGTGCAAATGGAATCCTGCGGTTAATACGACTAAATCCATCCTTATTAGGAGGTTTTATATTGCAAAGCGTGCGAAATAATTCAGGCATTTATTTATTATGAATTATTCACGAATACAAAAAGGATCGCGTGACACATATTATAAATAAATAAAAGAAACAAGAATGCAAATATTCGAATGTAACGAATAAATTATTTGGCATGTCTCGAACGAGCTTCGCAGTCGTAAAAATAGCTTATTTAAATTTGTAAACAACAACTATGTGACTAATAATAATACTATAAAAGTTTCCAGAAGGCGTCTTATAGAATTACCACCACTTAGGATAAGAGAACTTTACTTCCGCAATAACGAACAAAAGTCAAATGTAAATAACCTCTAGACACGAGGTTCGTGTTGAGATGATTAAAACCGTCTACTGTTCCGCTGTAACACATCCATTGAGCACTGTAAGGCGTTCATTGTCCAAGGAAAGCAATTACAGTACGCGATGTAGCTCATACAAACGTAACTAACTCGAAATCTCGTTTCGGAATCTGTGTGAAGGAAGTAGATCTCGTTATCACTTGGATCGAAATATCAATAATTGTTAAACTAAACTCAAACTCAATACTTCCTAACATAAGATAATCCTGCCGGATACAATACGTGGCATGATTGATTCGTCCACAAAATATGCTTCCGCATATGAAATCATTGCATACAAAAAAATATATGGAATGGTAAACTATTCGACAGAGGGCTCGATTGAGCTTTTATTCGAATCACTGTCGATTCGGGAAGCTGTTTGCATAAAACCACTGGTCGGATGTAAATTGTGTTGAAAAAAATGTCACGACATAGTTTATTTGTAGAGGTTCGACCTTACGTTAGTCGCATAAATCGAGTTATTTTATGGAAATAATAATTGTTGTCGACATAAAAAGTAAAAGTGAATACTATTATCAATACACATAATAATATTATCCAAAATATCAGATTTCTTTCAGGAGCGTAAGACGTAAAATTTGATATGATTAATAAATATGATAGAAAACAGAAGTGCTGTACTTACTTTGGTTGAATGTCTCTGGATGCTCTTCTCTAGACGATTCTAGTTCTGAATGTGAGGACTCAGAGAATTCTCTCCATTTTATACTAAAACTAGACCACTTACTGAAACCAAGCGTGTCGGAGACAGCGGGATCCAATCTCAATTATCCGTATGGATCTGATAATTACGTTTGGAGTACGCCGGGGGTGTCCTTTTGCAGATTTTTTAAGTCTATCTAAGTTGAGACAATTTATTCCTTACGAATTTAATTCTATTAAAACTCGATTGATTCGACAGAAATACTAGTAATGTTTCAGATTTAAGTTTGTTCTCGTGGAAATTTGGGTTGCCTTTAAAACTATAAGTAAACGAATTTTTACCAGGAGTTTGAATTTCTAAAATCTAATAAAATTAAGACTAGACGATGAACTTAAGACTTCGGGTAACGACTTTCTTTTGACCTGAGAATTGTAGTGAAACATATTTTATGAAATTTTAAAATGCTTTATTTATAAAATTTGTAGTAAACGTTCGGTATCAAAATGAAATATCAAAAAAAAATATATAAAAATTACGATGCAGATCGGTTAATTTTCCACTTTAGGTACTTCATCAGCCATACTGGCTAAGATGAGATTTTTATCCGTGCCCTGTGGTCTCTTGGGTACTAAAGCAGCCCTCATTTCCAGCGCTCGAGTATCAGTTTCCAACGATTGGTTTTTGTCGTTGAGGTCCATTGTGATTTTAATAGATGCAGCCTCCAAGGCATTGTAGGTTGCTCTGAAATTTTAAAATCTTAATTTTCAGGAGAGGCAAATGATACCGGTCTGGTGCTCATTCCGCGCGAGTAAATCCTACTACACTGTCTATTTATGCTACAAATTCATGCGTTTCGCTTTTAAAGGTAAAGTAACAAGAAAAGAAACTTTCCCAAAACCCTCTTATAGCACGGTACGTCTACAACACTATAACGAGATTTTTGTTTAAAATTATTAAAAAAATACATTATGCATCATGAACACACAATATATCGGAATAATCGAAATTTGATTGCTTATTTTTTAAGTAAAATAGGTAAAAAAGTACATACAGGCATAGTTGAAGTGTTTCATTCAGAAAAACTACTCTCTATTTTTTATACTCATATAACATAACTCTGTGGTCTCATATAACACCATTTCACACAACACGAGATTTTGTAGGAATTTATCTACCGTGTTACTTCCTAGGGCTATCTGCACTGTAAAATTGACTTAAATTTTTGATGCCTACGAACTCTGGCAACTATTGGCGGTACTTACTGGTACTTACCTGTTCATTATCGAATAAATGTACAATACTAATGCGACTTCGATCTTCGTCTCAGAGAAAAAGTGGACAAAGACACAGTAATGCTTAAGGGAGTCTGACACACGTAATATCCAGTGGGCTGTGAGCTCTCCCATCTATCTAGGATACCAAAATCGACTATTAAATTTACAGATAAAATACGCACTTTGCACAATCTAATTTCTCTTGAAGTTGCCTGATGGTTTCCCTTAAACTGTGAACCTCTTGCTTCAAGCCAACGTCCGCTTCATCAGCCGCAAGTTCTATTCCTGGTCTATAGCCTCTAGTTTCCAAACGAGTCTCAGCTACTTTCAAAGCATTTACTTTATCAGCAAACTGTTCGCCCATAGTTTTCAATTCGGTACCCAATTTTTCCATATTTTCTTCCATCTGAAATTTGATTTTAAACATGATTGCTATTCTAAGAAATAAATTTTCTGAGAGGTTAATAAGCTCTTTGATAAGTAATTAGTACCTTCTACTAATTTATTATTTTAGTTTTTGATTTAATAAATAGAACGTTTAAGTCCTTTTAGGGGCCATAACGCAATTTTTTTTGAAAAGTAAAAGGTAATGTTAAAAAGTGGTGTGTATTTTTTGGACCATTTTAGTTTGTAATTATAGTTCTAACACTTCACGAATGAGTTTCACCACAAAGATTATAACACCATCCGAGGCATAGTGAGACGTGATTTTGGAATTACCTACGTGATGGGACTATGATCCGAGGAGTTAGGGCGTATTGAGAGATTGTATAGGAGATGTCGTTATTCTGTGTAAGTATTTCTGTCGCCAATGCTTCTAGTCTGACTATTGTCAGCGCAACTGATAATTGAACCTCACGTACTGCAGTAAAAAATCATGTTGCTTTTACCGTATTATTGGGTTCTAACAGCTAAATAACATTGACGTCCCTTAAGCGACTCTGTCCATATACTGCAGTAAAACCACCCTTACTTTCATTTTTTGCCAATCAAGCTCGTTCCTGGCACGCTGAGTGTCATAGATGCGTCTACGGAGCATGTAGTTTGTCACATCAGTTTGAGCCTGAAGTGCGTTCCTCGCGCGACCCCTGGCTACGAAGAGAGACTCCCTCAAACGCAACGTGTCCTGTAGTTCATCTAAGGCCATTTGTTTCGTCGATTCGCATTTTTGTAACCATTGCTCATATGTTATCATCCTGATCGAAGATGTTATTAACGTTATCATTTTTAGTATTTTCTTTATCAAATACATAATTAAAACTACTTTTACGGTTTGGCCTCGCATTTTTTACTGTTATATTATAAGACCTTAGAACTTATATCTCAATGTGGCTGGCGCATTTACGCTGTGGATGTCTATGGGCTCCAGTTACCACTTAACACCAGGCGGGGTGTGAGCTCGTCCACCCATTTAAGCGAAAAAAAAAAAATGCCTTCTGTGACCACGAGAACTTTAAAGCATTCAAAGCGTCAGATATAATAAAATGACAATAAAAATTCGAGGGTAAACCGTAAAAATCATTTTAATTACGCTGCTATTTTTGTATTATAACAATGCATATTCCATTATGTAATTGAATTATTATTTAGCTATCTTTTAATGAGAGCTTTGCTAATGACAAATAATTCGTGCATTTTATTACATAACACTACTTTGGAATAATTTAAACGTAACCCGAACAAGTTAAATTCATTAAGAGACCACGAATGGTTGATACTTCCGAGATCATTCCGATAGATGCACCCGTCACGTGCGGACGTGCTCATCGTCCACTCGATCGCCCGGTCTTTGTTCGCCCGGCTTTTGTTAGCCCGGCCATTGTTCGCGCGGCCTGTGTTTGTGGTACATCTGCCGACTAAGTGCTCTTTCTGGAAGTTTTTATTTGTTTTGTTTCCTTTTGTTGTTTCTGTGTTCGTGGTACATCNTTCAATCATAAAAAAAAAAAAAAAAAAAAAAAAACTTCCGAGAAAATTCGTGATCCTCTTCGTATTAAGTTTTAGCGTATTTTGTTTTGTTAATAGGGACGTTGGTACTGTGGCGTACCTTTTAAAGGCGTCTCAGGTGCACCAAACCTAACGTAATATCGTAGCTCTCAACAAATTAAATTGTTTTAAAGTGCCTACGTAACAACAAACTTGTAGTGGAAACTTCAGTTTGGGAAAAACCGCTTTGAGACCTCGTTCTTTGCTTGAAAAACAATTTATTTGGACCTAAAAAGATCGACATTATTTTATTTGAATAGAGTACTCAGATAAACTAATTTAGGCTACACAAAAAGCAAAGCAAAAAATTAAAAAACATATATTTGTTTATAGAAAAATCATCTATTTTCAAACGACCCAGGGTCTTGAAAAGAATAACCGAAACAAATTTAGCGGTGTTGTCATTTTTATGATCTTATAATTAATAGTAATAATAAAATTAGGCTGGATAGCGATTCTAGTTCATTAAGCCCATAACACACACCTACCTTATATTTACCACGCTACCCTAAAGTATTATGTTATTATCTCCACTGAATAAGTAGATTAGTTTTGATTTAATTCAATTAACCTTTTGGGGGTCTTCAACGAATCGGTCTTGTATGTTATATTAGCACAGTCTTTATCCAGACTAAGCATGTCCTTGTCGATTTGTAAAGCTTCGGTTTTATCATTCAGGTCTAACTGAAGTTTGAATTTCACAACTTCTAATTTATTAATTTTCTCCCAAGCGGATTGACAACGATCTATCAACATCTTCTTGTTGCTTTCTGTTACGCAAAGCTCCTGCAAGTTTTCAAACGTAATCAAAAGTCTTAATTTTAACACAATTTTTATTATTGTATTCTTTTCGAAGTTAAAATTGACTTGTTTGTTTGTGGGCTTCTTTTATTTCATTGGAGATCGCTGTCTGCCTAGTAGTAATAACTAGAGCCCAAAATACAAGATATAAAATGGAAGTCGCTATGGCTTTATGTAATACAACTGACCTATCTCTCAGATCATTTGGATGGTGGATATCATCATCTCCCGTTCAGTTGTTATAACACCATATCACGAGTTGCCCTACCAAGCATTAGTACTGCTAAACTATTTATACAACATTCACGACTGGAAAACTAGATTATCCTGAAGAAATGTGATGTTTTTAAATCAAATTATGAAGCGAAATCTTAGCAGAGGGATTACTAGTAAATTTTACTACAGATAAAACCCACCTTTTTCAATTCAGTATCGGCAAGATCGTAGGTCAACTCGGAACTTCTCCTACCGTCCCGGTTGGATAGACATTCTGAGCAGACTAGTAGAGGAAGATTGAGTTGTTCAAGCTCCCTTTCGGTGGAAGCCTTCTCTTCTTTCAAACTTCCCATTTCGCGGTCAATGCGGTCAAGTAATTCTTGGAGCGTGGACTTCCATTGTTCGATTTCGTAAACCCTGCACACGAAATGATATTACTGGTGTCTTGTGTGGTCGAAATGTAACCAGCTAAAGAGTGTTGTATCACGAAAAAATGTTTTCTTTTCACGTCTATATTAAATTCCTTTAAATACCCTTAGCTCGTAAGCTATGCCTTTAAATACCTAATTATCAAAAAAATTACTTCAGACAGTATGTGTTGATGATTTTATTTCATCAAATACGGGTTAATATAAATTACTAGCTGTACCCGTCCGCTTCGCTGGGCATTTAAAATTAACATTATTATTTCTCACCCCCACAAAGATTCTCATCATTAACGCCCCCGCAACTGGTGTAGGGAGTCCAACACTCATATAAATATTAGCCTATCCATTAAGTACATGTATTTTTTACATGGATACCAAGTTTCACGTGTGCGCCGGGCCGTTCGTAAACTGTGGAAAACATCTGTCAAGGCTTTAATGAGCAAGAATTCCACATGACCACGACTGCTCTGCCAAGAGCAACCGATTATGATGATGATCAAGTTTCAAGTCAATCGGATGCATGGATCAGTGGTTATAAACGGAACATCCGTAAAAACTACTGTAGATTTATATATTATAGTATAGAAGTATAGATGTCTTTGTCAGAAAATATCCTCCTTAGTCGCTGTTTTCCCAGTCAGTGAAAACCATTCCTTTGTACTTTGCTCATCCTATTAGAATTTATAGGCACTCATAATTATTGTTAAATAACTGTAACACGACCGATCATAAGGAGGATGTCTACCGGCACGCAAAAGAGGAATTTCAAGGGAACACCAACTGCTATAGACCGTTTTTTTAATCTAGTTTGAAGATAGAAATTTCAAAGCGCCCAAGCAATAACGTAGGGGAATTTAATTCCAAAACTAAAAATATTTCACTATCTCGTTTATTAGATGTTACTGGTATTATGAGTTCGAGCTTATTATTATGATAATTCCGGTACTGGTAGTAATCTTGGAAATAAAGTCTTTTTGGAACGAAGTTTTGGAACGAAGTTCCTTATGGGACGATGCGGAGGGGTACCCTAACCGGGAAAAAACGTCCGTAACGTAAGATTTTTATTATTTATGTATAATCTTAGTATGATTGCTATACAGTGTCTAATGTATAGTCCACGTGATGACGGTTATTATTATTATTCATATAAATAGCTGTTTCTTTGTATATTATTATTATATATTTTTTATAAATCATTGAGAATAAAATAAAGTTGATAACTTTGTAAAGTACTTTTATTTCATTTTTATCAATAAAAAAATTATAGTAAAAAATGTATACCCGAATCATTATTTTCTTTATACCTCGAATAGAACTTAAAATTAATGTTTTCATAATAAGGAACTTTGTTCCTATCCGGTTTCCCACGACCCACACGTCTTTTTTTGTATTTATCTTGTACGTATCGGTAAAAAAGCTCAAGGGCCAAACGTCATCATTTTGTTACCAAAGCTCCTAGATATCATAGCGTGAATACCGCCACTCATCTTGTGACCTGAGGTCTAAGTATCGGTGTTATAGAATAATGTCTATTCCACTCTTTACATACCCAATGTATGCATGAATACTCGCGGCACAAGTGAGCAGGATGATAATACTTTCATACGGGTTACAATACGTCGGACCATCAGTAATAACGCAAACTTATAAACTTGCAGTCAATCCTTACCTTGCACTTAGTCGGTTATTGTTGTGGTAGCTGTCCCATTCGGTCTTGATCCTCGTCTCATTTCGGAGCTGATGGGCGCTGTGCCTCAAGTCAAAAGCGTCTGCTCGTCTTGTATCGGCAGTCACCTGTTTGTAACAAAAGCAATTAATACCACCACTGCTCGTTTTGGGACGAGACCTTAAAATAAAGTTATAATCGCAAAAAAACATGCGATTATATTTATAACGATTTTCGATTTTTTTTTGCCCCTATCGACATTCTATGCGCAACATTTATTTATGAAAATTCGCTGTGAGATTTCTGGTTTAAGCTGCAAACAATAACTATAGATATATTTATGGGTATTTTAGCATTATCATATATAACATTAACATATACAATTAATAGTGATAGCTTTACCGGTTTTTCTTTTTTACCATTCTATAGTCGCTTAATCCTTGATCAAATCATCAATCCCCTCCATACCCAACTGTGTTTAAGTATACGGGGACTGGTGTAAGATATTATTTTTTAAATATTTTTTAATACAGTTATACTAAGTTTTTTGACCTGTCTAATCAACCTTGGACAAGATTTCTACGAGCTATCAGAGCCAATCGATGTCATTTTCTTAGATTGAGATAATTGTAATTTATCAATACACAAACCAAACGAGGCAGTAAGCAAAGGAAAAAGAAAAGTAAAAATAAAAGAGGAATATTAGCTTCGTCAAAAATATTTCCTTTACAAGTTAAGTTGACTTATTCCTTAAACCAGAAATGGATAATAATAAAAAAGTTCCAAGATACAGGATTAACATCATAAAATATAATAAAACCAAGCACCGGTATGTAATCGGTAGCGAGGCTTTTAGCCAGCCCGCATTGGTAGGCATCACCCTCATGCCTACTTCCATCCCGAAGCCATTGCATGTACCAGTCTGTAAGGTGGGATAGCTGTTTTACAACGCAATTCAGACATCAACCTCATATTTCGAGGTGGAACCTGAATGCGACCATTCAGGTTGTTGCGGTGGTCATGTGGACGATGAGCTAGTCATCATACGGGATAAATACCATAAATCATGCGGGACGGTTTCAAGTTTGTAGGCCACCGGTGCCCTACGTCACCCTACGTGGCGCACTGAAGTAATTATGTCGATTTCTGTTACTAAGCTTCTGGATTGCCTAACTTTGTCTTCTTTTGTTTTTAATTTACGTTTTAGTCTTTTAGGTCTCTTAGAAATTAGGTATCTTTCCTAAACTCTACTAGATATTACGGAGCCATAGTAAGAGAAAGATCGACATTGCTGCTGCAGTGCGCCGCGTAGGGCACTGGTGACCTACATAGCAGTAAACGTATTTTTTTTTATTTTTTTTTCTTAGTTGGGTAGACGAGCTCACAGCCCACCTTATGTTAAGTGGTTATTGGAGCACATAGACATCTACAAAGTAATTGCGTTACCCACCTTGAAATATCAGTTCTAAGGTCTCAGTATAGTTACAACGGCTACCCCACCCTTCAAACCGAAACGCATTACTGCTTCACGGCAGAAATAGGCAGGGTGGTGGTACCTACCCGTGCGGACTCACAATCGGTCCTACCACCTACCATCATTAATTGAATTCCGAAAATCGAAACCATAAAATTATTAAGCGAGAGCTATCCATGTTTACAAAATTTTATATTAGTCGCCGGGGACACATTTTATCCCACGAATCTCACACTCGTGACCGCAACGTTCAACAATAAAAAGTGAGTTTGTTGTGAAATTGCCACGTTATCAAGTAAATTATTTTTTTTTGCCGTTGAAATGTTTGTATGATATATCTTGTCTTTATTGAATTTGTTGGGCGAACGAGCTTGCAGCCTTCAATTATAATAATAATAATAATAATAAATAAATATTTACTAACAATCACGCCACGTTAACTGGTCCCGTGATAAGTTCGTAAAGAACTTGTGTTACAAGTACCAGACAACGGAATAAATGTAAGATTTTTATTATACACATACATATATTTAATATACATCCATAAACCTGGAAAAGACATTTATATTTATCATACAAATATCTTCCCTTGGCGGGATTCGAACCCGCGACCCCCTTGTGTAGTGACCATGTCACTTACCACTACACCAGACGGCCGTTTTGGTGTATGACCATAGTTGAACTCGAATCTGTTGTTAATTGAAAGGTATAGCAGAGTTTCGTGTAGCTATTTATATTTTCAATAAGTAATGAAGTGAACTCTTTTTTTTAATACTGTGTACGAGTTTTCAATTTTTTTTTTCTGCCTATACTGATAATCTTGAGAGGCTATTTCAACTTCGCCCTAACGTGTAGGTGAGCTCACAGGGCTCGAACCGGGTGTGTTGCTAACACTGGCCATAGCAAGAACAGTGCTTCGTAGAATCTACCACCGCATCGGAATTGCGACCCACTGATCCGGCGAGAAAGTGGGCTTTGTCTATGGGTTAATTCGCTCGTTGAGCACTTCGTCGCAAGCGACGGGTTCGACGAGGACGGTGACCAGATATACGAGTTTACAGTCCTCCTAACGTTAAGTAGTTACTGGAGCCTATGGGCAACATAAATTTCCTTTTGATACGGCTGGGGCCCAATTGTTTGCAATAAGAATAGTCCTTCCTTTTCAGTAAAACTAATAACTGCTTTCTGGCAGTACTAGCCAGGACGATAATATCCACTCAGAATTTCCAGAGCAAAAACCAAAGCCAATTTAAAATAGAACGCGCAACTCAGATAGGCAAACTAAAGCTGATTTAAAAATTTATTGTTTCAATTTTGTTTATGGTAGACCACGAAGACTTGTTTCAGAACAATTGGCACTACATCGGTATTGGATTTACCTGCAAACCGTACAGTCGTGCATCCCAATCAGGCAGGCTCAGATGTGGAAGCGGTTTCTCAAACGTCACAACGGATTGCATTGCGAATATTAAAATGTTAGGTAGCAAAAGAAAATACCAAATTTCCAAAAAAAATTAATGGCGGAAAATCGAGGCTGTCATATTTTGACAACTTTAAAACAGAGAGTACGTAATCAAATATATTTTTCTGTAAAATATAAATTTTATTTTAAACTTTTTCGTGTATATAATACTGTAATTTTATTAAATTGTAATGTGAAATGTCAATTACTATTAATATTACGAAAATATAGAGAATCGAATAAAATGTGACATTTTAATCTTTTATGTAGTATGTGAAAATAAATTTTTTATTGGAAATGTTCAAAATAACAAAATGTATGTGATAGGACCAAAAAGAGATGAAGGAAACGAATCATCCAAAAGAAGTAACTGGAACGGTTCGCCATTACAATTACTGCTTCGACCCGGAAATAAGCAGGAATGGTGATACCTTCCCGTTTGGGCTCACAAGACGGCCGATGCTAGTAATTAAAAGATGTGTGGTGTCGTGGAACACCTGATAGGAACGAAGTTCTTTATTATAAAAATATTAATTTTAAGTTCTATTCGAGGTATATAGAAAATAATTATTCGGGTATACATTTTTTTATTTTTTTTTATTGATATAAATAAAATAAGAAACTACTTTACAAAGTAATCAACTTTATTTAATTCACAATGATTTATAAAAAATATATAATAAGAAAATATGTTATTTTTTGTACGTTAGTACAAAGTTAAGTCGTACACTGTGTGCATTACTAATAAAAATCTTACGTTAGGGACGTTTTTTTCCGGTTAGGGTACCCCTCCGCATTGTCCCATAAGGAACTTCGTTCCAAAAATTTAAATTCAATTAAAAATCTTTTCTTAGAAAAGTATTTACCCGCCTGGAGGATTCGAACACCGGCAGTTTCGCGTTAATATGAAGTCATCGGACGTCTTAACCTTAGGACACGACGACTTTAAGTACTAACTTATACTCATTTTAAGACCTAAAATACTCTTTATATCAAATTAAATAAAATCAAATGTAATGTTATAGCTATACAAAGATTATTAACGAATTACAAGGCGTGAGCGATGCTTACGTTAAAAATAAAACCATGAAAATGTCTCTCTGATTGCTTAACACTTCGTTTGAAGAATAATAATATTATGGTTGAAATGAAAGCAAGACGAACAAGAAAGCGATGAAATGTTGGAGGTCAAATGAAAATTGCTTTACGGGGAAATTATGAAATGTTTTCGATCCGTTTTTGTAAATTTAGCGTTTCTTAATATATTGTAAGGAGGCTATTTTGATAATTGCGTTCGAGTATTAATTAATTTAATACAATCATTTTGAGTTGGAATTTTTAACTGTAATCATTTAAGACGGTTCTGTCAATTTTTATACGACCACATATCAAAGTTCTACCCAAATTCTAACCTGACTTCACAAGAGCTAGATTTATCTGGTACTTACTGTTAAATTAGGGGAAAAATATATTAGTGTAGGTACAACACTATTTCCCAAGGCGGGAAAAAAAGGTTCAACACTATTTTGGGCAGCCGTGGCCGTGGGCGGGCCGACGACCCGTCAGTCGGGCGTCCTCGGAGTGGCGCCGCGAGTCTGGTTGTAGTGCTCACCGCGAAACCCCCCTACTCTGTCTCGGGTTTAGAACTCTCGTGGGAGAATACAAGGTGAATCGTTTGGTGGGTATGGCTCTAAGAACATCCTTGAGTCCTCGGTCAAGACCGCATGCCTCGCGCACAGCCAAGGCGGAGACCCCATGCACGAGGTTCGGCCCCTGTTCGAAAAAAACGGCTCAAATGGCTTTGTAGGCCACGGCTTGGCTCTGTCCCTGCCATTGCCGACGTCCATGACCGACGGTAATCACTCACCATCAGGTGGACCGTATGCTCGTCTGCCTACAAAGGCAATGAAAAATAAATAAAATACAATTATAGTTGTACGATAATATTAATTTAATGGTGAACGGTTTGTGAAGCTTTCACACGTATCAAGAGCCGATGACGATACATACAATAATTTTATAACTTCGCTCTAATATCCTGATCAGAATCAACAAGGTAAAAAAAAATTTGCTTACAAACGAGCTCACGGCCCAACTTGTTAAGTGGTTACCGGAGCCCATAGACATCTAAGATCACACTATTTTAACAGTACAACGGCTGCCCCGCCCTTCAAACCGAAACGCATTACTGCTTCACGGGAGAAATAGGCAGGGTGGTGTAACCTACCCGTGCGGACTCACAGACGTCACAGACTCACAGACGTCCTACCACCCGTAAAGTGCCATTACTAAAAATTAATTATTAGTTCGGCTTACTATATAAGTTGGAATCCAGCATCAATGTCGCTATCCACTGCGCGGAGGACAGAAGTGAATGGAAGAACAAAGTCCTGACAAAAGTGCTCAGTAAAGGTCACAACCCTCAGAACTGAGGAATACGACGCACGGAGGAGGACTATATAAGTTTATTTTTAGTTATTAAACTAACACATTATTTATTTTCTAAAATATCAACGCACATATTTTTTGGATTTAATGTATCTACATATAATGTAAATTTGACGTGGACGCTAGGCCTGTTTACAGACGAACGTTAGGGGGCCGAAAGTTACAGTTTGGCCCACTTTTCCTATTAGAAGGGTAAGTTTGTGGCCTCAGAGCAAAAGCCTTAGCGTGCGTGACCATAAATTTAAACAACATTCCCTTGCGGATATATATTGGCATGGCGCCAGATGCTCTATTTTCGAGACAATGGCAAGTCTTCGTCTATTCACATCGATTGTGTTAAGAACTTTCGGATAAACTTTGGATTGTGTGCATCAAGGAAAGCTCGTCCCGAACTTCCTGTTTGTGCTGTTTTCGAGTTGAGAACAAAAGGTAAGAAGGCTCTTTTAAAAATAGACCAAAAAAGAAAACAAATACGAAAACAATTAGTTATGTAAATCGTGTTTAGTAACTTTCTTCTGTTGTTTTTTATTTGTTGGTTTCATAATTTAAAAGTTTATTCTAAAAGTTGGCATATTCTTCAAATTAGTTACTTTGAAGTTCTACGACAGATCTAACGTTAAATTTGACATCGGAAATCTTATCTATATATTAATACGTGAAGTAAAAACTTTGTATCCCTTTTTACGAAAATTGCGCGGACGGAGGAGTATAAAATTTTCCATACTTATAGAGAATATAGAGAAGAAGTGCACAATGCTAATATTTTTTTTAATAATGCATAAAAGATACATTAAATCAATAAAGAAAACATTACACACACTACATACCATGTAATTGACGCACACACGCATGCATACTATTTATCGTCAAACTTTTGTTCTTGACGTCTGTTGTCAAATTGAGAATAGATTAAATATTGTTTGTCTTTGTTAATATTTTTTATAGTGTAGTCTTGGCGAAATTTGTGATTATAGAAATATAAGATACAATCATAAAAGTGTAGAAACTTACGATTCCAATTAATTATAGTCGGATTTCGACTACTGCGGGACCTCTAGTATCTTTAAACGAGCAATTCTTGTATATAAATATATACGAGTATATAATCAGAATCTCGGAAACGGCTCCAACGATTTTCATAAAATTTAGTATACAGGGGATTTCGGGGGCGATAAATCGATCTAGCTACGTTTTACTTTCAGAAAATGTTGTTTTATTCGTGTTTTGAATAATCAACTTTATCGATAATCAACTTGAACATAAACTTATTTTTTTTATTGAAAGAAAATAACAAATAATATAATATAATATCATTAAGTAATTCGTATTTAAATATAATTTCTAAAAAATACAATTTATCAAAAATCCTCTAGTGTCATCCTCTAGTCTATATTTAACAATGGACCTTGTCGGCTGAAAAGCCACTGTAATCCATTATTGTTTTCGAATTACCCCAGTTATTGAAAACGCATAACGCGATCTTGATAATATCATCTACATCTAAATCGCTATAAGCAAAATATTCAAGTGAAATGAACAAGGAATTCACCGAGCATCATGTATAGTATTGTCAGGCAAATAACCAGTCACCCGATAGCTTGCCGCCGAGATGTATTATAATAAAATCAATATCCAATATCAACATATGAATACAAAACAATATCTTACCTTTGTACGATTACAATACACATTTCAACAGGCACCTGTCTAAAAATGAAAAAAGTACATTATGGAAACATTCGGTTACTATACCATGAATCTTCTAATAGGTTTGCATAGGGGAGTATGCGTCGATATTTTCACTTATACGTATTTCGAGTTTGTTTGATGGAAAACTATGTACGGTAGACATTCTTTATAATACGTGACGCACTTTCCATGTTTTTTTTTTATTGTCCTTGTACGCAGACTAGCATACGACCCACCTGTTGGTGAGTGGTTACCGTCACTCATGGACTTCAGCAATGCCAGGAGCAGAGCCAAGCCGCTGCATACCGCGATTTATGACTACTGAAGCGAAACACTACGAAGCGACCATATATCATAATCATCAGTCCTCGGACCGCTTTTCCGATTATTATTTTTAGTTATAGACTGTATGGCCCACTTTATGGTCATTGTCGCTTATTGACATAGTAATTCGAGGGTTAGTGTCAAGAGCTCTTTTAGAACATTGAACAAGAAAAGAAAATCTTAAGGGGAGTTTTTTTCATGGCCGAATGGTCCTTGGAGTTTAGCCGGCTGAGCAGGATCTTTTCTGTGGATCGTTATCGATGTGGTGGTAGATGCAGACGCGAAACAGCTGTCCTTGACATCTTAGCCTTCCTCCGGGAGCGCTCGGGCAGCTGTTAGCAAAGCTTTCCCTCCTAGTTGAGTTCTTGAGATCCCCCACAGGCCTTTCCAGCGTCACCATGAGCTGGAAAGGCTTCCGGGCCACCAGCAATCCTTCCAATTCGAAGAAAAGGTACTTCCTGAAATGATCTTTGAAATTGCATTGTACATAATCACAGTAGTCACTATGGAGGCCTTTTTTTTTAATTGCTTAGATAG